ATAAAATACACGAGGTCTTCCCTTGCCACATAACTCAACAGGGTTAGCTACTAAGAGTTCAGTATCTGGGCCTCTGTTGGTGATGATCACTCGTAATGGATGAAGCATCTCCTCCTTCAATCGAGAACATGTATTGGCCAGAAGTTTAGGATCCACAATCTTCTTCCCATCTGTTTGCCGAATTAATAGATCCATGTTACGGTATCCTTTTATGCTAGATGAGAATCTACCATAAGCTACCTACATTAGAAACAAAACAGCCATGTATTGTTAAAATACACATTGCAATCAACCATTTAGTGCCAAAAAAAGATGCAAAAAAGCAACAAGTGGCACTGCTGTGAAACTTAATGGGATAGATTCTATAGCATTAATGGAACAATAGCATGCTATGTACATTATTTCCAGAGACATCAGAGAAAAGTAAGGAAAATAGTCCAGCAAAAGGTTTGAAAGGAGAAGAGTCGCGAGAGGGACAATGCTCGTACTAACATGATTTCTCAGTCTGTAAGCATCTTAAATGGGAAGGTGATATTTTGTGCAACTTGATCCATTTCAAGATGGTCAGGATCAATAACATAGCAGACAAATTAAGAAGAGTTGTTCTAATTAATCTCATGACCACTGTACCTGGATATTTAAGTCCTTTGAAGTTCTCAAGATGTCATAAAATAGACCTTTTTGATCAACACATTGTATTTGAAGCAATGTATGAGCTGGGCTCAAAAGATTATCCACTGTAACGATGGCCTTCTTTGGTGGTGTTATAGCTGTCACAAGTGCTTGCGTGCAGGATTCCTTTTCTGACAGCTCACAGCTAAACAATTCTTCTGCAACTGCCATTGGGAGGGAAGAGAAAGTCCGCTGATTTTCACATTCAGGACCGGCCAACTGAAGTTCACAGCTGATACAATACTCTTTGAATACATCACACAAATATCTACATGTGTTATCTCGCCTTTCTTTCGTGTGTAAGAGCTCCCTGGAAAAAGACTACCAAATATCAATTGTGAATTGACATTTTTCTATTTTATTTTCTTTTTTGACAGATCAACTTCGAACTGATATATAACCAGATAAATATAAGAACAGATTTTGTCCAATTATGATATGTGCTTCCTGGAACTACTCGTCATAATCAAAGAAACAAACCGCCCAAGACCTTGGCTCAGACAGTATTAGAAAGCAGTGCTGGAGGGGACCAACACCTACTCATGCTCGAATAGAAGACGATTTTAAAAACATAGTAGCAGGAGCAAGTCAACTTCAAAACTTTACAAGAAACATGCCATGTGATCAACAATATAAAAAAAAAGGTTTCTAAGTAGTTTAATTTTCTGAAATATGCTTCCGATTATCATGGCGAAAGGCTTATGATCTACTATAAGGTTTTGGCCCAGCGCTAATTTTTTCCATGTGGTAGATTTCTCTGGCCAGGTTAACAATTACTCTTTCATACCCTCTATTATGCCACAGCCATATATCTACAATACTTCAATAAGAAATTAGGCAACTAAGGATTGTTGATAATAAGTTTCATATTTTATCGCATGCCTTTCTATAGATATATAATGCTTTCCTGCTCCGAGGACAGTCATCGATCTCGGTTATTGGAGTGAGTTACAAATTTGCAGCAAAAGCTATGTAACATGTGGTCATCCCTGGGGACTAGCTGGTGATGAGCCACTTGTGGAATAACGGTGAAGAAATAGGGACCCCTTGAGCACGATTTGAATCCAAAAAATTAAGCAAGTGTCGAGCACATCTGGAACCCAAACATAACATTGCTGTTCCTTTATGAAGACAAGCACGTTTTTGACAATTACTTTATAACCCCAGGCAATTGTCAATGTCGGGATGAAACAGTATATTGTCAAGAAAGCCGTATTTGACAAGCAAAAACTACGAGAATTTTCAATGATTTCAAACGAAGAAACAGTTTCAGGTGAACTTCTAAAGCCATTAATCGCTTCGTCATCAATAGGTAGCCAGCAAACATCATCGGAAGGTGCATTGAACACATTGTAGTGACATTTATTGTAGTTAGGTTCCATATATTCAATATAAGCAAATTCAACAGAAAAAACAATAAAAAGGGAAAATTCACCTGCCATCTGTAATGAAGAACAAGTCCACGACTTTCTCGTCTGGTGTTGTCATCACTTTTAGTCTTTGAATTGTAAATTCAAGCTCCGTTATAACTTCGGTGATATCTACACAGGTAAAAAGCACGAGCCATGTTATTTTCATTCCTTGAATTAAACAGCAAAACAAAGTACATCAAGCCTGCCATCATCTTCGTAGTTACCATGCAATAATCCTTTCCTGTCAACACAACAAAACTTCAACAGATATACAGAAGGAGCAGCCGTGGAACCATTCAATTTGTGATCGTAATAAAGTGGAGCCAGACATGGAGGAGACACAATCAACAGCCGGTTTTTCAAGCTATCCCAATCAAGTCTTAGCGAGTTTGAACGTTGAACCACCCAGAATACTATGTAACACCACTTTCCATCCGTTTGAAAATCTGCCATCGTCAAAAGAAAAGGAGAGAGAGAGATATTCCATCATTTAGAATCATTGAATATCCTACGAAATTCAAGAAAGATTATAACCGTGGAGCTTATTCATCTACTATAATTCACTCCCGTAAATAACAATCCAAAAAAGAAAAGAAGGGCCAAATTTTGCTAGGAATTAAAACATGGCCACGAAATGCAAGTACCTGCGCGAGTAATGTGTAGCCCAAACTCGAGAATTATTCTGCAGAGATCGCATCCAAGGCCAGACTTGTCAGGGCAATTGACGGTAACGACGGTGGGGTCATTGGAACCGCTACCTAGCTGGATCAAAACGACATCATCAGCTGGAATCCCCATGATTGCGAGACTCCAGGAGATAATTAAAAGAAAAGCGCAAGGAAAATGTGAAGATGTGAAAGGTTTTGGTCTTTGGGTGTGTTGTAGGGTTAATGAGAGAAATTTGTGGAGGTTCAGGTGAGTGTTTGTTTGTTGATTGCTGGGGTGGGGAAGGAAAGAGCTGAGGGGACGGTTAAGTTATAACTGGCACAGGGACGAGACTAGAAGCATGTGCTTTTTTCTTTCCATTCCTTGATTTTACAAGCGAGGGTTTTTTTTCCTTTTCTTTTCTTTTTTTGCTGTTGTTGGGTAAGAAGGGCCCACGGATGGGGTTGTGTCCATGTCAGGGAGTTATGTGGGCGCATGCCCTTTTGGCATTTTGTATCAAAAGGGTGTCTTCGTAACTGTGCTTTTTGTATGGTTGTGTTTGCCTCGGCGTATTTTTCTTTCCTTTCTTTTCTTTTCCCTGTTTTCTCCTTTTGTTACCATATTTTCATGGTGAGAAATTCGGTATGGTGTTTCCACGAGTAAAGTTTACATCTTGATGGTGTAAATAGTAACAGTACTGCCTTAAATACCATGTTTAACATGGACTCAGTAATTATTTTTTTAATAATTTTTATTTAAAAATATATTAAAATAATATATTTTTATTATTTTAAAAAATATATTTTTGATATTAACATGTGAAAAAAATTAAAATACACTAAAAAAATTAATTTAAATAAAAAAATTATATTCTAGAAAAATTATATTTTGAATGTAATGTTAAATATTTTTTAAAAGTGACATTTTAACGGTCTAATTTCAAGAGATTTGTTAATATTATTTAACTAGAAACATGTTTGTTATGATATTTATGCAGCGTGACTCGCATAAAAATATTAATTTTATATTTTTTTTAATAGGATTGTCGCGTGACGCATCTCACAAATAAATATATTTTTAATATCTAAAATTATAATTATTTACTAAGTATTTGTAACATATGGTTAAGCAAAATTTCTAGTGACATGTTTTTGTTAGGACTCAAGTTTGCTGATTATTGTGTTTACTTGTGACAGTCTCGTTCTCTCATGGCAACTTGATAGAAACTACAATAAAGTCTAACTTAAATGTTATTTACCTGGGGGGTAGAAAATATTGACATGTTGTCATCCACAATTCGAGTTTTAGAGACAAAATATTGTTCGCCGTATAAAGTATAAAGTTGTCTAGGATGTATTTATTTTTGCTTTTGCTTTTGTATGAGCTATGAGGTACAACTTTCCACGATAAAAAAATACATGAGCACAAACAATAAATTTTTTTTTATTGTTGTTTTTTATTTATTGTGGTGGGGACGATGATAAACCATTGTAATTTTGCATGTTTAAATGACAAGAATGTCCTTCAAAACATGGGATCTTGAAATCAACTTTGAAGAAATTCTGGAGCTTTCCTCTGTTTCATCTTTCGGTTTCTGCCCATCATACCGATGTAGATTGAAAATGAGCCTTCCAAACACATCCTCATCATGAAGAGAGGGCAACAGAAGACAAGTTTGGAAAGAAAGACAAACTTGACTCAATCACGAGTCACGCCTTCAGCACAGACACAAGCCCATCCCCGTCCATTACAGCAGTCCGTCGAGCTGACGTGGGCAGTTGCTGGATTCCACCCGAAACAAACTACACGTGACAACAGCACACATTCAAACGATGAGGGGACAGCTAGACATTTTCATGTCGTCTAATTTACTTGTATATTTCGTGTTAACAAAATGATATGTGCAACAGACCCTTCACCAGGCAACCACGACATGCACCATGTTCGTAGATTATGTGCTGATACAGTTAGTTAGTTTTTTTAAGGGATGCAAATAATTAGTGGGCTTAGTGCCCTGCTTTTTTTTGCCCTGCTTTTTGTTATATGCAGAAGGTGTATGGAAATCATGCACCGATTATTTCTGTTATTATTTCCATTTCGTTATATCAGTTGTTTTTTTACTCATTCAGTAGTTGGCTATAAAAAGTCATCTCAAGTGTAAGGAGGGGGGAAATTAATTATGTAAAACTCTTTTCTCTGTTTCTTATTCTATCAATTCTTCTTCTTCTCTTAAATTACACCTATCAATTGGTATCAGAGCCTCTCATTTCCATGGAGACTAGGAACAAAAGCAATACTGAGTTTCGCAATGAGGTCAGTGAAGCCTTGGCTCAACATGCGTCTCAATTTGATCTTCTTAAAACCCAACATGAGTCTCGTTTCGACCTCCTGAACAACAATATGACTCAAGTTACCACATCCCTCCAAAACCTCCAAACCGCTATCAGTGAATTACAAACTTTGTCATTACGTCCCAGTTCCAATCACCAAACCATTATCCAAGATGTCAATTCTTTCACCAAGGGAGAAGCTTCCCAAAAGGGTCGACAACCAGCATCTGCTTGTTCCTTTCCAAGTACTGGTTTTGACAGAAGTCATCAACAGTTCAAACTGTCATTTCCAAAATTCAGTGGTAATGATCCAACAGGATGGGTTTATAAGGCAGAGCAATTCTTCGAGTTTCAGAACATTGCGAATGATCAAAGAGTGCAACTCGCTTCATTCCACCTGGAGGGATTAGCTTTGCAGTGGCACCGTTGGCTAACTAAGTACAAGGGCACACTCACCTGGCTTGAATTTACAGCAGCATTCCTCCATCGTTTTGGTCCGACTGAGTATGAGGATCCCTCTGAAGCTTTAACTCGTTATCGACAAGTCACAACAGTAGCAGCGTACCAAGAAGCTTTCGAAGGGCTATCGCATCGTGTGGATGGACTACCAGAACCATTCTTGGTTGGATGTTTCATTGCAGGACTTCGGGATGATATCCGTTTGGATGTCAAAATTAAACAGCCAAAGACTCTAGGAGACACCATTGGAGTTGCTCGCCTGGTGGAGGAACGTAATCTCCTGCAAAGAAAAGGTAATACTTTTGTGCGATCAACTGCCATTTCTCGTCCTCTACCAACCACCAACAGTGGTGTACTGGGACCACCACCAGTATCCAAACCAGTCAGTACCACCGCTCCATCCTCATTTAGAAGGATAACAAATCAAGAAGCTCGTGAAAGACGTGAGAAGGGCCTTTGTTTCTATTATAATGAAAAATTCATACCAGGGCATCGTTGTCAAAGGCCACAACTGTTTATGATTGAAGATTCCACACCAGAAGAAATGGATACCAGTGATGATTGCACCGTTGACATTGCAACTGTGGAATCTTTTCCAGAAATATCATTCCATGACATCGCTGGTACTGAGCATCCACAGACCATTCGCGTACTGGGAAAATTGAAGAACAAGGATGTCACAGTGTTGATCGATGGAGGAAGTACACATAATTTCATCGATCAATCCATTGTCTCTCAATTTGGGCTACAAGAAATTCGAGATAAGACGTTTCAGGTGATGGTGGCTAATCGTGAGAAGATTGTTTGTGGAGGACGGTGTCTTGCTCTTTCCATACTCATCCAAGGTCATGTGGTCATTGCTGATTTTTATGTCTTACCTGTTGCTGCTTGCCATGTGGTTTTAGGGGTTCAATGGCTTGCGACTCTTGGCCCAATTGAAACAGATTATCGAAATCTCATGATGACTTTCATAGGCGGGGGCACCAAACGCATGTTTCAGGGAATTGGTCGTGCTGGTTTGGAGGCCTTATCTAATAAGGACCTTTTTAACTTGCAACAAACTGGGTTGTTTCTCCAGATTACTATGACTGAGCATGTGGACTCCATTACCACTTATTCTAGTGATCTCGCAGCAGTCCTTGACAAATTTGCGCATGTTTTTGACACACCGACAACTTTGCCACCAAATCGTTCACATAACCACCGGATTCTACTTCAACCCAACAGCGAACCTGTTAGTGTTCGTCCATACAGGTACCCATACTATCAAAAAACTGAGATTGAAAAGATGGTTAAAGAACTACTTGAATCTGGTTTAGTTCGTCCAAGCAACAGTCCATTTTCATCTCCTGTTTTGTTGGTAAAAAAGGCAGATGGAACGTGGCGATTCTGTGTCGATTTTAGGGCACTCAATCACATAACAGTGAAGGACAAATATCCTATTCCAATTGTTGACGAGCTCTTGGATGAACTGCATGGTGCCAGGTTTTTTACAAAACTGGATTTACGTTTGGGGTACCACCAAATTCGGGTTCAGGAGTCCGACATCCAGAAAACAGCTTTCCGCACTCATGAAGGACATTATGAATTTGTAGTCATGCCTTTCGGTCTCACGAATGCCCCAGCTACTTTCCAGAGTCTTATGAACGATCTGTTCAGACCATATCTTCGCAAGTATATTATTGTGTTCTTCGACGATATTTTGATCTACTCTAAAAATTGGGATGAACATATTTCACATATAATTAGTGTTCTAACCATTTTGTCCAGTAACAGTTTGTATGTCAAGAAATCAAAATGTCAATTTGGAGTATCACAGGTGAATTATTTGGGCCATGTCATATCAGAGAAAGGAGTCGAGGTTGATCCTTCCAAGATACAAGCAGTGGTTGATTTGCCAGAGCCGACAACAGTAAAGGGTGTGCGTGGTTTTTTGGGGTTGGCGGGTTATTATAGAAAATTAATCAGTGGATTTGGCAATATGGCAGCACCATTGACTCATTGTTTAGGCAAGGAAGGATTTCGTTGGGGAATAAATGAGTCCACAGCCTTCAACAAACTTAAACAGGCCTTGACTTCACCTCCTGTTTTGCGCTTGCCTGATTTTTCTCAACGTTTCTTCATTGAATGTGATGCTTGTGGCATTGGAATAGGCGCTATTCTCATACAACAAGGTCAGCCGATTGCATTCTTTAGTGAGGCATTAAAGGGTTCATCATTGGCACTCTCCACTTACGAAAAAGAGATGTTGGCCATTGTCAAAGCCATCCGTAAGTGGCGACCATATCTTCTGGGTAGACCCTTCACTGTCAGGACTGACCACAAGAGTCTCAAGTTTCTGTTAGAACAACGCATCACAACTCCTGCACAGACTCGTTGGCTTCCGAAACTCCTTGGTTATGATTATGTGGTGGAATACAAAAAGGGCCCTGACAACAAAGGTGCTGATGCACTGTCCAGAAAAGTCGAGTTCAACTTTTTGGCAGTTTCCTTGCCTCGGCCCTATTGGTGGATACGTCTGCAACAAGAGGTTCAGCAAGACTCTTTTTACACTGATTTATTCAAGCTAAATTCAGGTCATCAGCGACAACTGTATACTTGCAAAGATGGTGTGTGGTTCAAAGGTGGAAAGGTATATTTAAATCCCTCTTCTACATTAATTCCTTCAGTTTTGGCAGATCATCACTCTTCTCCTGTTGGGGGCCACTTTGGTTACCACAAAACTCTAGCAAAAATCCGCGGTACTTTCTTTTGGCCAACACTGCGACAACATGTCAAAGATTTTATCTGACGCTGTGATACTTGTCAACGTTTTAAGGCAGACTGTTTGAGTCCTGCAGGGTTGCTGCAGCCCTTGTCCATCCCAACTAAAATATGGACTGAAGTGTCTATGGATTTTGTGGAAGGGTTGCCTCCTTCGTTGGGCAACACAGTGATCATGGTTGTGGTGGATCGCTTGAGTAAATATGCTCATTTTGTAGCTCTGAAGCATCCATTCACGGCCATTATTGTGGCCAAATCTTTCATTGCTAATGTTGTCAAGCTTCATGGAATTCCTGTGTCTATTGTCAGCGACCGAGACAAGGTATTTTTGAGCTCCTTTTGGAAAACTCTGTTTCAACTGCAGGGTACTCAGCTCAATATGAGCTCCAGTTATCATCCTCAATCCGATGGCCAAACGTAGGTGGTCAATCGGACATTGGAGCAGTATTTAAGATGTTTTACAGGTGATCAACCACATAAGTGGGTGGATTGGTTGCCTTGGGCAGAATTTAGTTATAATACTGTCATTCACTCTTCCACGAAGATTTCGCCATTTGAAGCAGTTTATGGCATTTCACCACCAAACGTGCTTTCATATGTGCCAGGAACTACTCGCGTCCAAGCTGTGGATGAATATTTGCATGATAGGGATTCGGTTCTTCAGGATTTACGTCATCAACTAGTTCTTGCGAGAGATCGGATGAAAACTCAAGCTGACAAACATCGCCGTGAAGTTCATTTTACTGTGGGAGATTTTGTTTATTTGAAGTTGCAACCATATCGGCAAACATCAGTTGCTTTTTGCAGGTCAATGAAACTGGCGCCACGTTACTTTGGCCCTTATCAAGTATTAGCTAAGGTGGGGGAAGTTGCCTATAAGCTTGCCTTACCTGCTGGGTCTCAAATTCATAATGTTTTTCATGTGAGCCGCCTACGCAAGTGTTTGAGTTCTGTGGTTCCAGTCTCTCCCGAGCTACCTCCAGTATCAGCGACTTCTACCATTCTGCCATAGCCTGAGTTGGTTTTGGATCATCGTGTCATATGTAAGGGACAATATCGGCCTAAGAAGGAGGTTTTAATCAAATGGAAAGGTGCTGTTGTTGAAGATGCCACGTGGGAAATTTTATGGCGTTTTATGAAGACATATCCTGATTTTATCCTTGGGGACAAGGATACTATGAGGGAAGGGGAATGATATGTGCAACAGACCCTTCACCAGGCAACCACGACATGCACCGCGTTCGTGGATCATGTGCTGACATATCACAGTTAGTTAGTTTTTTAAGGGATGCAAATAATTAGTGGGCTTAGTGCCCTGCTTTTCGTTGTATGCAGAAGGTGTGTGGGAATCATGCACCGATTATTTCTGTCATTATTTCCATTTCGTTGTATCAGTTGTTTTTTTACTCATTCAGTAGTTGGCTATAAAAAGTCATCTCAAGTGTAAGGAGGGGGGAAATTAATTATGTAAAACTCTCTTCTCTGTTTTTTTTTTCTATCAATTCTTCTTCTTCTCTTAAATTACACCTATCACAAAATAATCGCATGGATAACATTGTTTACAATTATATCGTGTTTGGGGTTTTTTTTTTAATAATGTAGTTTGCTAAAAGTTTTTGAACAATAAAACAGCTTGAAAGGTATTTGAAAAATAATATAATTTGACTATAACTGTGTTCAAGCATATTATTTTTTTATACATTAATTATTTAAATTAGTAGTCTCTTTTAAAAATATGTTTTTTATATATAACTACTATTTAAAATAATGATTGTTTAGTCAAGTTTTATGATATGTTTTTTTTAAAATAAATTAATATAAACAAGAGTCGGCCTAAAAATTTACAAAAATCCAATAAATAAAAATCGAGATTCAAGATCTAATAATGACAAGAAAGTAAAGTGATATGACAAGAAAAAAATAATGGGTTATCAAAGTTTTATTTTCGACATATCTTATAATTTTAAAAAAACTTTCATAAAATATTTCATAAAATAATTTAACTGTATATTTTAAAAACATTAAATGAGATTATAATTAAACATAAATTATTTTTAAATAAAATAATTAATAAATTACAATTATGTTTGGTTATTTTTTAAGATGTGATTATAATTTTATTGTCAATATTTTTTAAGGATACTAATTATGTAAAAAATAAAGTTTTGGTGTGTTTCAAGTTATCTATTTTTTTTTACTATTGAAATTGGAATCTTATTTCTTAATCATGGATCTAAAATTTCAAGTTAAATTTTTATACATGTTAATTAAACTGTAAGGGAAATTATTTTTAAAATAATAATTATTCATCATTTAGTTATGTTGAAATTGTATTAATTTTTTAATATTTTTTTAGCATGTTAAAAAAAAATGAAACCGTGTGCGATAGAATTCTAAAATACACTCGTACGTGCCATTGCAGTAAAAGTACGATTATTCCAATGAATCGAGAGGCGTGAGAGCCTCGGCTGATGATTGCTACGTTTTCCTATTGGTTGGGTTCACTCGGAGCGCGAGGATGAGTTTATTCAGATCCTATTGAGGGTGACTACGACTCCTAACCAGGGTAAATGGTCCCTCCTAGGGAGGTCCTTCTTCTCATGCCGGAGCAACAGGGACACGGACGTGTGAAGGGTCCGATCACTATCCACGTGTAAAATATGGGCAAATCAATAGGATCTCTAATTCGTTAAAAAAGATAGGACTTGTAAGGTCATGGTTTGCATGTCAAATTTCCCTATCAAAAGTTAGGATGGGTATTAATTATTTTTTTTAAAGTGTTTTTTATTTTAAAATACATTAAAAAAATTTTAAAAATTATTTTTAATATTAATATATTAAAATAATTTAAAAATATAAAAAAATATTAATTTAAAATAAAAAATAAAAAAATTAAATATTTTAAAATGTAAAAACAAAGAGGTCCTTTTACGTGTTTTGCTATTGGCTTTAAAAAATTTCACGAATTCATCTTAGTTATAAATGTCTAAAGTTATTATCATGAGTTCTAATAAAAAAATTATATATTTTTAAAATATATCATGCTAATTATATATAATAATGTGTTTAAAAAATTTCATGGTAAAAAATGCAGGTAAATTTGATATATTTTTTTAAAAAATTATGTACGCCTTTACCGAACACGTAGCTATTAATCTTAGCCTGACGTATAAAACCTAATTAAACTGAAGTATTTAATTGAATAAAATAAAACGTTGACTATGTTTAATTTATTTTACCCAATTAAATTTCGAGTGATCAGTTAAATGTTCAAACCATAGCGAAGCACGGAAAGATTATCAAACCGTTAGTTTCTCCAGGGAAAAAAAAATCGCCGATCCATAAAAAAAGAAAAGGAAAAAAAATTATTCAAAGAAAACTAAACTTCACGCTCATGAAAAGAGGCCCAAAGGGCAAGAGAACCGAAGCCCACTGAAACTAAGCCATCAGAAAGGTAGCCCAAAGCAGGTCTACTTAGAATGGGCTGCACCTAAACCAGTTCAGTGCTAGACCATTACCAGTCAGCAAACCGATTCCCTCTGCATTGCCGTCAATTAGACGCCCGAACCGCAGTCATTGATAATTTTTTCAGCGTCTAAAAGACAATCACGCAGAAGAAAGAATCGAAAAAGAGAAGGATGAGGAAGTTCGATCCATGGCCGGTATTCTTCAAGAGAGAATGGAACCGTAACTGGCCTTTCCTCGTTGGCTTTGCCATCACTGGCGCTCTCATCACCAAATTCTCTCTCAGCCTCACTGGTAAACCCCCTTGCCTTTCCTCTCTATTAAGATGTCAGATCTGGCGTAGTGATTCGTGTTTTAATCACTGCCTTAAGCGATCTTATTGCAATTTACTCACTCGATTAGAATTAATAAATATAAATGTTACAAAATCTTTATATTTCTGTCTTGGGTATATATAACTGGACTGATTTGGATGACATTTCTACAGAATTAATGTTTTAATTTCCTGTTCTGTAGAGGAGGATGCGAAGAATTCTCCTTTCGTGCAAAGACACAAAAAGTAAGTGTGCCTGCGAAACCCTAGATTACGATGATGTTGGCATTTCTTCACTTTCTTTTGTTAAAGTTTGAATAATAAAAGATGTAGCTATACTGTGTGTAGATTAATACATTACATTCTTATCCTTCTCAGGTAGTGAAATATTTCTTGCCAATTTTGAGGGTTTGCTTTGTATAGTTTACAACATTCCAAACGGGTTCATTGCTAGTTTTAGTTTGCTAGATGTGCCATTCATGCGCCGCTGAATCTGTATAGTTTTTTTTTTAATCAGTCTACTTCAATGTATGAATCTAAAGCAAATTCTGCCTTAAAGAGCTTGTTATGAAGAAGGCCTGCGAGGGTGAGGAAATGCATCTCTCTGTTGCCTAAGTATTTGAATGGCAACTATTTGGTCATAGAACGTGGGGAACAATACTTTGTCGATGTTGTTTGTTAAGATTTTTCATTTCTAGTGTATAGGACAAAATGCCCTGTCAATTTTTATTTTTGTGGTTATGGATTTACTAGATGCCTCCTTTGTACATGAGTTTCTTGCATGCATGAGAGAAGAAGACAAGAATTAAGTGGATGATTTTGTAAATTTTTTTTTTCAAGCCTAAAGTTCTTAACCTGGAGAATTTGGATTGCGTTCATTATTTTGTGGAGACTAACTGCATTTCTTTACATCCTTTCTTACCTTTACCTTTTAATTTTATCTGGTTTATGATTGCTGCTAACGTGTTGTCTTTCAGGCACTGATGCTAAACGAACCCTGTCTAAGATGAGCAGCCTTCTGGTAATTTTTTTTCCCATGCTTCGCCTCCTTCTCTGTATGCATGATAAATAACCATGTCCAACAAGAAAGTGGCACTTAAAGGTGCCTTCAGTCAAAGCTTTTTTTGATGGAGAAAAAATGAAAGCTGCTTATTTCTAGTGCCTGAAAAACAAACATGGAACTAATCCTTGCAACATTCTAATAAGTTTACCATGCCTTCGCAGGTGAATTTGGAAATGTGCTCTCCAGGTGCCAGATCAATGCTTATTATGAAGGGCATTTAGCTTTGTTTGAGTTCATCTTTCTCCTCTTATTGTTTTGCAGAGTTTTTGTTTCAGTCACTTTGTGGTTAAATAGACTGATGACTTTTGGGTAAAAGAAAGGCTTTGTCTAGTTGTAACGATTTCACTGGCTACTGCTGTTAGCCGCTGCAATGTAACACTTTTAAGTGTGAAAATAAATGCACCATGTGAAAATTATTATTATTTCCACGGTTTTGTTCCATAGTAAATGCACCGTGTGAAAATTATTATTATTTCCACGGTTTTGTTCCATAAAAAAAGGTTCATCTTGGTGGTTGATTCAGCTGTCGCTGCTGAAGGAAATGCATTCAAGGGCACCGTTGAGAAATTGGTGAGGCTGCATGAAATTTGTGATATTAGTGTAGTCAACACATGCCAGGGTCTCTTACTTTTCCAAAGTAAATGGTAGAGTTTGATTGTGCGTCTAACTTAACCTCCTCCCCGGGAACCTTGATTGCAGCTTAGCTTTATGGTGAGTTTATCAATTTCATCCAAATTTCTCATCCTAGGACCGTTAGACTGCAACATGATTTTGCCGACTCTAGATGCTGTGACAAGTAACGACAGCATTGATGCCGTTGAAACTTCTGATAGGCCATGAAGATATTTGCCGGCAGTCAATGAATATCGATTAGTTAGCAGCAAATTGAAGAGTAGTGGATATATCCAAACCCTATTTGCCGGCAGTCAATGAATATCAATTAGTTAGCAGCAAATTGAAGAGTAGTGCATATATCCAAACCCTGCTTGCAAACTTGTGCTTGGATATTAATACTCAATATATTTTTGGTATCTAACTGCATTTCAGACATTCATTGCATACAGAGTGTTAAGAAGTTTCCATTCCACTTGTTAAAAATTTCCAGATTTTGATGGGTGCATACCGAAATCATAGAAAATCTTATAGAGATGTAAATTGTTATAATCCATCTTCCATCATCTTGTCTTTGAACTTTTTGGAAGAATCTCTATATGCCCTTTTGTTTTGCATCATCGCCATTAAACCTCAACTGTAGCTGCAGGCATGTGTTTTGATTTTCGTTCTGCTGCCAAATCGGTCGAAACATGATCGGTGCAAGAGATGAAATCAAGAAGAATCTGAGATGTGAAATATTAAGCTGATGTACATATGGGACACTCAACCCGACATAAAACTGGAACTACCGGTTAATTGAAGAAAAGATGACTGTTTTTCATACAATGTTCCAGCAGGGGAGAAGAGATTGATTGAGTCTGCTGAACAAGTGAACGAAGCTTAGCTGCAGTATTGAGGGTTTTTGGAATTCAAGCAATAGGACCATTGGCAGTATGATTATTATTGCTTTCTGTTATATTTTGAAGGTGTTAGCTATGGCATTCTGCAGGTCGGTAGATTTTACTAGCAGTGGCCAATCTCTCCTCCCTCCCTCTATTTCTTAATTTCTGCCGAAACGACTTGTTTCAAGCACCAATTTGGATAAAGCCCAACTCACTTTCCTATTTCCTAGTTGGATCTGTATCTGATGGTGAGAAGCTGGCCAGACGTAATGTGAACTTATTGGAGAATCTCCATTGTTATTCATTCTTCTTGTGTTGAACAATTCATTTTATCATATGTTATACAAGTCATATTGTGGGCATAGAAGTGGGGTGCAGTGTCAATGTATCTCTCACGTGGTTTCTTGAAAAAGATTACCTTGATGAATTGTTTACAGAAATTGGAAGTGAGAAATATCATAGCGCTTCCCCCTCTTGTGGCAACAAGAACATACAGACAAGTTGAAAAATTTATAATCATTCTTCTTTGATGTCACGTCTAAACCATTTTTCTCGGTGTAGCTAAAATCAGGTTGAGAAACAACAAAATTCTTGATGGAAGCTGCGCCCCAGAAAACTCCTCATGAACATCTTGGGCCCAAACATGCTATTACCAAACTAAATTAACCAACTGTTTTATTTTGTTATAGTAGTTGATAGCTGCGATAATTAATAGTTTCTATATTTATAGGTGGCTGGGAAATCAAATTCATGAAAATTTCACTTGGTTCAGTTCTCTCTGGGAACTTCAAGCCTCCGTCGGAAATCCTCCTCCATGAGAGGAAGACCATCACGCAGCTTAATCTTCGGTTCCCAGCCTAACAATTCTTTTGCTTTTGTGATGTCTGGCTTCCTCTGGCGAGGATCATCTGGTGTGTTCTCCACTACTATGATCTCTACTTCAGGGTTGATAAGCTGCCAATGAACGTGATAAGATTAATGATATTGGAAATTCATGCATGGAAAGTTTAATTGGTATAATTGGTATTTTTGGTTTCCAGCTCATAATGATGGCGTCTGCACATGGACTAGGACAGTAAACCCAGCACATGGAAAATACAACTAGTCATGGAGCAACGTGCTAATTTCAATGTGTCCCAAAGAGAAATTATTCCAAGTAAATTCATATCCAGGAGGAGATGCAAGCAAATTGAAACTAACCTCCTTAACAGTCTCCGCAAGCTCCATCATGGTGAATTCACCTGAAAAATCAAACCTTGGATTAATAAGAGTAAAAGTTTCCATCTATTTCAATAGATAGGTCGCTAAAGAACACCAAGTGACTTGTTACAGAGCTCGAAGATTAACCTGGATTTCCAATATTAATAGGCCCAGTGTTCTCTCCTTCCATAAGTCGGATGAGGCCATCAACCTTCAAGTGTTTGAAATAAAGATGAAGGGCACACGAGTCATTAAGACCCAGTCATGGCAACTAATATCATCTACCATCATTTAATTCAATGAAAAATTTCTAGCCTACCATGTCAGACACGTAACAGAAACTCCGGGTTTGGGTTCCAGGTGCTTGAACAGTCAAAGGCTCGTTACTGTATAAATTCACAGAACAGGTGCCACTAAGATAAATAGTTGCGACAATAACTTTTTCAAAAAATCACATGAGCTGTTGTTGTACCGACTTACCGGATTGCTTGGGCTATGAAGTTGCTGACAACACGACCATCATCAATGTTCATTCTGGGTCCGTAAGTGTTGAAAATTCTGGCAATTCTTATCTCTGGCAAGGGAAAAAAATAGTGAAGATGTTTTAGATGCAGGAAATCACAAAGAGAGAGAGAGAGAGATGAGTGGATATGCTTTGAACATTGGAAAATCACAAAAAGAAAAGATTACTGTTTCAAAATTATCTCGGAGAGGGAGAGAGAAAGAGCCACATACCTATCCCATGCTGCCTGTGATAATCAAACATCAGAGTTTCAGCCACTCTCTTTCCTTCATCATAGCAGCTTCTGACTCCTGTAAAAATTAGCAACATATCCACAAAAGTTAATATGCATTGCAAGTGGTACAAAAAGTATTTGTCATGGATAAGTGCAGACATAGCAGTACAAATTTTCAGACAGTAAGTTGTCCTCAAATACAGTATATAAGGCATCTTCAAAGAAATGAATTAATGAGGGAGACTTTTGTTCCCCAAGGAAAAACATAGAAATATGGTTCAACCCCCACTCCATATTAATCTGCATGCTAAAAGTTCATAAAAAAGGTTGCTCTCCTACATGGAGAAAGTTTAATGAATAACTTTTCACATTTACAAGTTGATGGAAATCTAACACACCAATTGGGTTGACATTTCCCCAGTAGCTCTCATCCTGAGGATGTACAAGTGGATCTCCATAGACCTCAGAAGTTGATGTAAGCAAAATCCTGTTTGCCAATTAATGCAGCTTCAGTAACAAAGGATCATGCATTATGAAATGATAACTGCGAGCTAGAGTAGCAGTCTCAAACCTTGCTCCAACTCGCTTGGCAAGTCCCAACATATTCAATGTCCCAATCACGTTTGTCTTTATGGTCTGTCATGCATAGCAATTTTACAGGTCAAACGGAAATTCAATGGTCAAAATCAGGATTCAAGGTCACAGGAACTTAGAGAGGGAGAAGTGAACGAATATATAGACAAGGACAGGAGCGTGATGTACACAGGCATACCTTTACAGGATTATATTTGTAGAAGATTGGGGAAGCAGGGCAAGCAAGGTGGTAAATTTGATCTACCTCAACTAGCAATGGCTCAGTGACATCTGCACAGAAATAAAGCAACATCAACATGGCCATTTTAATTCATGAACAATAGAGAAAGCAGGACATCATTGACATGCGTTGGCTTTGCACTGCTGGACACATAAGAAGCTAAAAGCAACAGTACCGTGACGAATGAGCTCAAATCTTGGATGACCGATCCATTTCTTTAGGTTATCCTTAGAGCCAGTGAAATAGTTATCCGCCACAATAACCTAAGCGACGCAACGAACAAAACTCAGAATAGACCAACCACGGAATTCAAACATAACTTACAAATTTTTATATTCCATGAATGTGTGGAAATGCTTTCCACTTGTTATTGGATGGACAACTGTCTGTTCTTATTGAAGCAAAACAGGCATAGCCAACTCGTAAAAACCTTTCAATCTTCTTGAATATCTTCAGATGGTTTTGAAACAAAATGTGCTTACCTCGTTCTTTTCATTTTCCATCAACCTGTCCACCAGGTGTGAACCAATAAATCCAGCTCCTCCGGTGACCAAAATCCTCATATTGGACTACCAAAACAAGCAAAAATCTTTTATTAAACGGAAGGGCACACCATAATGACGGCTGTGAAAAAAATATATGTTTCTGATAATACCACCAAACAATTACCTTCTATAAAAAATATCAATTAAAGCACGAAAACATCCACAAAATCAAGTGTTAATGCGCAGGTACTTTTCAGAAACCCTTCCATGATGGGAAAATCTCACATTGAAAAATTACCGACCCTCAATGAACTCAAAATCCAGAAAGCAAAACTAGATTGCATCTAACAAGATCTAGCAAACATTTTCTCTGAATTGCACTCGATTTTAATATTATAACTTCGGCAATCGATTTTAATATTGTAACTTCAGCATTCAATTTTAATATTATAACTTCTTTTCCTTGCAATCCAAAACTCAATGCAACCTGCATTGCAACCCAAAAAGAACAGATATAGAGAAATAAAAAGTAAATCGCAAATTGGATATTGATATGTAGCTTGAAATAAATTTATCACGATTTTGTGCCATGCAGATCATGGATCATACAAAAACTTAATTGAATACCAGATAAAAAACGAAAAGATCACACCATTTATAAATGAGAAAAAAAAGAGTCACATAGTTATACCTGGAAGTACTTGGAAAATCTTAAAGGAGATGGAGTTGGAGGAGCTTTTGTTGCAGAGTTGTGATTTCCATTCGAAGCCTCCTTGGCCATTTTTGTTCAATTTCTAAACAAAATCGAGAGATTAAAAGAAAAATCTCAATCTACATCAATTTCACAAACAACCCAGAAAAAGAAAACTGTGGATGATCATCGGATGCATAAACAACCCAAGAACTAAAAGCTCGAAAACCTCATATCAAACCACCCGACAAACATCAATCCAAGAAAAAAATCAGATCACCGAGTGATGTGAAAAAAAGGTCAAAATCTTAAACTTTGCTGCGAGCCATGAAACTCAAAGACTGCAGCTTTACATAAAGAGCTCAATTGTAACCAAATTGGCTTGAAAATTTAAGGTTAACAGCAAATTATGAAAATAAACACACTAACAAACTACACCAACTAGTGACAGAGAAAGAGAAAGACGCGTAAATTAAACGGGACTTCGAAAACACGAGAAGAACAAAGCTTCAAATGCAATAACAAACCATACCCCACCGATTTTTAGAAAGAAAAGAAGACCTCAGATCTGAATATCTCTCAATCCCGACATCCTTTTCTTTTAAACAAAAGAATAACAGAAAAAAAAATCCCAAGTAATTGAGAATTAATTACCAGGATCACTTTTGCAGCAGGAGGATTTTGAGAGAGGATTTTATAACTATTATATTTATTTTGATGAGATTTAAAGATATGAAGGAC